CAGATGAGAACGAATTTTGCGTGCTAACGAAAATGAATTTTCATCAAGAAAAGGCAAAGGAACTTCAAAATCAGTGTGTAAAAATGTTAATGTAGCTAGGGGTATTACAATATTTTGAGGAAAATCCTAGAAATTCTATACGACAGGCCACTCTTACATTAAATTAAAAAAAAAACCTCTATGCAAAGAATTTTGAACACCACCATAACATGGAGCACTTATCTGACATACATGCTGAAAAAGACTTAATGATGTAGCCCAAATAATGGTTAATTTGGAAATAGAAAATAGACAACACGTTCTTTGGACTGATAAGAGTCGTTTTATAAGTAATAGCGTCAAATAAAAGATACGAACATTACTGGGCCACTGAAAATCCGCACTACGTTAATCCCATTCAAAATCAGGGCCATTATGAAATAAATGTTTGGTGTGGTATTATTGGAATGCATTTAATTGGCCCATACTTTTATGAAAATGTATTGAACGCTAATAGCTATTTACAATTTTTGCAAGAGGAGCTTCCAGCACTGCTTGAACATGTGCCGCTGCAGCTCAGGTTGAATATGTGGTTACACACAGTAGTGCTTCTCCACATAAAGTTAAAATAATTACAGAGTATTTAAAAAATACTTTCGGAATTAAGTGGATTGAAATTAATGGGCCTGTAGAATGGACTTCAAAGTCTCCAGACTTAACGCCCCTTGACTCTTTTTTATGAGGAACATTAAAAAAGCAAGCAAAATATATGACACCCAAAAGGTTGGATAAATGCTTAGAAATATGAGGCATGTTTATCGAAAAATTTTATACAATTATAATTGTATAATATTTTCAATATTTGGTTATCCTATTTAACCGTTATTATTTGTATTGTTCTATTTTTCTTCTTGGATTGACCTCTTTTAAGAAGAACATAGCAACTAATATGAAAACAAATTTGTGACAGGAGTTACAACGATTATTTTTCACAATAATGTATTAAGTCATGACTAGTTCCAATACGATAGAATACATTTTTGTATAATGTTTGTTATTGAAACTTTTTAAGGAAAAGAGATAGAGAAAAAATTTCTGCACAAAAAATTTTCATAAAAAATAGATAATATCATAAAAAATGGATATGTTCGTGGAAAAAAATAGTTGATAAATTCATTTTTTATTTTCCGAATTTTGAAAAAAAAAGTTTTCAGTTGCAAAACGGACCTTAGCGAGTCCCTATTCACGCCATCTAAACAGATTTTTACTGTCGTTTTTCCTTTGTCTGTTATCACACCCTACAATGCGAGAAAGTGAGAAGGCGATACCAGCGTATATCCTTTTATATTTTATATCCCGTGTTGGGACTAGGTAGGAACCATATAGGTGCAGAGATTGCGACATAATTTATTCTAATATCTAAAATAAAACAAATTTAGTACAAATAACTTTGAGAAACAATATTGCCATTAAAACTGCTGACTACTGTATTAACGGCAAGACCTATAAGAATTGAGAATTATTAAAAGAAAATAGAAAACACTGGGTTTTCTTCACCTGATAACAATTTTTAGAAAAACAAAATTGTTTACAATTTAAATATATAGTACTGCATATATTTCAAAATTCTATTTAAAGTATTTTTAATGATTAATTAGTTCAAATAAAACAAATCTGTTATTATACTAAAAATTTATTTTGTTAAACATGAACTTCTTAATAAAAAGAAATTTTAAAAGTTTGCATATCATTGCAAATTAGACCCGTGATGTTGTTATCTAAGAAACCATCAGATGGTTATGCAAACAAAAACTGACGACCACTTTTTGTATCTTTTTAGTGAAAAGATGTTTGGCTATAAAGAGATCTATTATAACACGTTTTTTAATTAATATTAAGTTAAGCCCACGTTTTTTTTTATGCGCATAGAAAAATTTGCGTCTCTAGTGATATTTGAAAGCCAAAAAGCCAAAAATCTCCGTGGATATACGATTCACCCAAACCAAAACAGATACCGTCTAGTCTAAATGTCCTCTATACATCTGCAAATAAATTTTTTATCAAATTTTTGCAAACAAGTACTTTTAAATGCAAGTTATTTGTTTTTTTAATGCAACATTCTGTATATACATATTATATTTTTGGGAGAAACACGCAGCTTTTGAGATAACTTCATCTAAATCAGTTTTCAGAAACTAAACATAAAATAGGTTCCCTTTATTTATGTAAATGGGTACTTTATGTTTCAAATTTCAATGCATTTAATTGTTCTTATTCGATAAGCCTAGTACCTTTTTATATCTTTGACTAACAACTGCACAAATACTTAAAAACTAATTTTTTTCTACAATGTATTTTTATTCTTTATTAAATATATTTCTTAAAAATATGTGTAATTGTGTATGCATAAAAGAGAAAAAGGAAGGACGAAAAAGGAAGGACTAAAGCCATTTCACGAACTATTGTCAAATTAAACATTGGAAATTTTATTATTAAAAATTATAATCTGAGGGGCGACTCGACTTACAAAGATTAAGAGGGTACAATTTAAATAAAAACTAATTACATTCATATTTGCGTCATACTGTAAAGTTTGTTTTTATGAGATTTAATAAAATGTCAAACTTGGGTAAATAACACAATAATTAGTTATACCTGCTATTCACTCAAATAATTGATTTAATAAATAATATTTGTCTTCTAAATGGGATAAAGCATATAAAATTGTATACATGCAGAACTAGGGCCTATAAAAATAAATTAGATAGAAATATGATATGGATATCTCTATTTTATTACAAGCTGTGCATAAAAACATAAAAATAAAAATATTGCTAATAATAAGTGCTTTTTGCACATAACTTTCGAACTAAAATTGATTCCCGGAAATTTATAGATATTGGGAGGCGATAAAATCCTATTACATTGCTAAATATAAAAATTTAGTATTTCCGCGCCAATTGCACAACTCCATATTAAATCAGAAAGAAGTATTTTTTCCTTATTTAAATTTTAATTAGATATCAGTACCTATAACTTTAATATATAATCATAACTTGATGTGAACAAAAACTTTTAATTAATAGACAGATACTAATAAAATATGACATTTGACATTTATCTCTTGGTAATATTTATATATCTACAGGGTGTTTTATGACGAACTACATACACTGTAATCGAAGATTGAGGTAATCCAGATGAGTACAGCATGACCATAAAAAAATCCTGTTGCTCTTTTGTTTTTACTAAGGTTTATTTTGACCATAGCCTTGCAGCCATGTGTGGCAAGTAATTTATTTTTGGTAACTCTTCATTGGGGAACAACCATTGACCCTTCCTCAGGATTTCAAGATTTTTGGAACAGTATTTAGGATATTTCTATTCATTGTGGACCCTCTGAAAGTTGACAAGGTATATTTTTTCTATATTTTGTATCAGTGAGAAAAATCATAAGCACTTTTAATATTTTCGTTATAGGTAATTCTCGCAACTTTTGAATTGGCAATAAAATTCTGGTGATTTAATTTTTTTAATCAACTTTGGATTATATTTTCGCAAAAAAGAAAATTGGAGCAAATATTTGTATACTTCAGTTCAATATTAATAGTACCACGACTTCTTGTACGTGTACAAGTCCCAATGGAAAACTTTTCATTCACTTGTCACATTGATAAAATTTCTCCTGTGTGTTTGTCAAAGCAGCAACATAGAATATTAAAAAATCATAACTGGCCAGGCATTTATGGCAATGTAAAACAAATAGTTGCCAAATGATGACCTTACAGGGTACGTATAAAAAAATTCCTCTTGAATCATCATAGGGTGTTAATGAAAAAACTAGGCAGATAATACTCGTATCCACTCCACAAATTTTGATCGAGGGTTTTTTTTAAATAGTAATTCTTTCTCTTCTAGGTTGTCTTGTAATTAACACAGTTCGTCAAGAAAGACTATATAGTTAAATATGACTGCTTGTATTTGGAAACTTTATAATAAGTATGGCGTAACTATGCATAACACAAATAGTAGAACTCAACTACGAGGGTGGTCTGAAAAGTTTCCGACCTCAACATGAAGATGGCAGCACTCGTAAATAAAAGCTAGTGAATTTCGTTGTTCNCCCTCTTACCCCGGTTATGATGCTTAAAGTAGCCTCATGTTTTGAAATGCTGTTTTATATTATTTACTTATAAGAGAAATGGACCGAGAAATTGAAGCGGCATAGACAAAGACGGATTGTCGGGGATTAAATTTTAGCTACCTGCTACAATTTAGTACAACCCGATCACACAAAGTTTTTTTAAAAGTACAACTCATTTATACCGATAATACATAATATAAAAATATTGAATATAAGCACCAGTTCTACATTTATTTACGATTTGCATACATAATAAGCTTTTATTACACTCTTTCATATCTAAACAGACTATAGTAGCAAACTGTTAATAAACTATCAAAATGTTCCATTGTTTTGGAATTTGGTTTAATATTGATTAGTGATTCTATATTGAAGGTTTGTATGATGAATTTTTGCTTGAAAACCCTGCACTTTATAAATGTGACACGTTGGTTAAATTTAAAAAAAATATCTGTATACAATTGTGTTGAAGTAATCTCTTTTTGTTTCTAGTTTTGTTTATACCGCGTCGACTACATGTTTTTAGAATTATTCTGTATATTTAACACAGTTAAATTATATTTGTTTCCTAGTGACGCCGCTGACTTCGCACACAGATGTCAAACTCTACCATTTATAGTTTTTATCTCAGATGAAAAGTCAAACCGTTGGCTAAAAATCTAGTTTAGTTCCATTTTATGGCCCCTATTGAAAGTTAGAAGAAAACTATAACTATAAAACCACTTTCCCCTTCGACCACAACCGAAAGCTATAAAGGAAATATTTGATGCTTTTTAAATACCATCCTGTCGTGCGGGAGTTGTTCCCGCTTCTTTTATTACCCAACTTAGGGTTCCGGTGGGTCCACACAAGCCGGTAAAATTGCGTTCTGTTCCAGGAGCAAATCCCACCTTGCGTGATAACGGACGTGGATTCAGGGCGGACCAGTGGGCCAGATTCTGCGGTCGCTATGTTTGCGCGGATGTCATCGAGAAGCACGCGAGGCAGAGACTTCTTGAGAGGTCCACTTCCTATGGGAATTGGGGTGGAGAGAATGAGCTCGGAGCCCGCGTTCTTATGGGAAAAGTCATTCCAGTCCCGACTATCCCTCAGCAGTCGTCTCACGGTAAGTAGTTATCAGCGATTGCTTTTTTACCCAATAAAAGAGGAACGAGTTGTAAAATGTAGGGCGATTGCTGGGATTCCCATAATAGTTTTAAGAAAATGGAGGTCCTGTTTCGTCTTACGAAGCGACGACGGCTTGTAAAAAATCATATTTGAAGGGCGGGTTATTGTTTTTTTAGGGAACTATTTATATGTTCAGAAAAATTGAACTGAAAGTTGCCCACCTTGAGATTTTGGATAGGGTTGCACATTAGGGTGGGTCAAAAAAATCTACTATTTTTTTTTTACTTTATACTCTGAAAAATAGGTTGCTAGACACCTCTAGAAAATTCTCTCCAAATATGAGCTCTAATCTTAATAGGAAGGTCCTCCGCTTTACAGTTTTCCATTTTTTCCTCAGTATTAGAAAAAAAATTCATATCTCTCTATCTGTTCGTTAAAAATATCTGTCCTCATATACTTGTAGGAAATTGAACGCCCTACAAAAAAGGTCTCTTACAATGTTTTCGTAAACCTCACCGTTTAAAAGATATTAAAGGTTGAAGTTTGAATATTTTAAGACAAATTTCTGTTTTGCTTATGAATTTTATAACTCGTTAACAAAAAATCATTTTGAAATGTGCAATTCATAGTGTTGTAGGAAATTAACTGATCTACAAAAATGGTCTCTTATGATTAGTCGATTAAATAAAGCGTTTAAAAGATATTCATCGTCAAACTTCAATGCAAGCCAATTTTAACAGATTTTGATTAATAATAATTCGGAAAATTTCAATTTACTTTTTGAGTTTCAGGGAAATTTATACAAATTTGAGTTTCTATGAACAGAGAAATGTTTAAATTATTTTTCTAGTTTTTTTTAGTCGTAAGCATGTTTGGTTACATCGAAAAAAAATTAGTGCATTATTTCTGACTGAGTCAATGATTTATGAAATCTTGAAAAAATAACGTTTTTGATAGAAATTTATTATGAAAAGTATTAATCTTAAAAAAAAAAGTTCAATTTGTTATTAAAAAGTTTTTTTATTTAATTATCAAGTGAGTTATAAAATTCCAAACATTTTAGTTTTGTGCTGTTTTTTTTAACTTTTTTGTAATTTTAACCATTGAGTATGATAGCGAAGAATTTTTTTTTCTGCATTTGGAGCTTCACTAGAAACTCAAATTTGTATAAATTTCCCTGAAACTTAAACTAAATTGAAATTTTCCGAATTATTAATCAAAAACTGTTAAAATTGGCGTGCATTTAGGTTTGATGATGAATATCTTTTAAACGTTTTATTTAATCGACTAATCATAAGGGACCATTTTTGTAGAGCAGTTAATTTCCTACAACACCATGAATTGCGCATTTCATAATGATTTTTTGTTAACGAGTTATAAAATTCATAAGCAAAACAGAAATTTGTCTTAAAATAATCAAACTTCAAACCTTTAATATCTTTTAAACGGTGAGGTTTACGAAAAAATTGTAAGAGACCTTTTTTGTAGAGCGTTCAATTTCCTACAAGTATATTAAAATTAAGAGCTCATATTTGGAGAGAATTTTCTAGAGGTGTCTAGCAACCTATTTTTCAGAGTATAAAGTCAAAAAAAATAGTAGATTTTTTTGACCCACCCTATTGCATTTTCGTTACTATTTTTTCATTTTTGATAAAATTAAATTTTCTTTTTATTTATATTTTAATTATAAAACTTTATAATGCTGTAATTGGATCAAAAATTAAACCTTTGAGGAAAATGACGGAATGACTGTATTTATCAATTAATTACGAAAAAAATATTTTGCAAATTTAGGTGCAACGCATTTCGAGATCCCAGGATCGGCAGCTGTCATTTCGCAAACTTATGAATTTTCGTTATGAAAGTTTTCTTTTTAGGCTTATGAATTACCTCCTAAAAGTGGTGAGTCCCATGCCTTATTATCAAAATATCACTACTTCAATTTTCACCAGCGTCACTTTCACCATATAATATTCGTGTGGAGGTAGTTGGATAAAATAAGTTTATATTAAAAATTGTATTATCACTTCATTTATGTTTGGGATTTTTTATGGCACAAAGACGAACTAATCGCCCTATGCACGAGCAACAGGATAGGTACACCGCTATACAGGCTGTTACAAATTCGCTTCTCACTACAGGGATCTCGGAAACGATAAGAGGTACGAACTAGCTTAAATGAGGGCAAAGTTGCATAATCAGGGGACCAACATTATGCCTCTAAAAAATCAAGGCTAACATGATTAGTTTTCGAAATATATGAAAAAAAACGAAAGTTTGGAAATTCGTTTTTGTTTCATTTCAGCCTTATTTGAGGTGATATTGAAAAATGGGGAACATTTTCTCATGGCCTCTTTTTAGCAACATTGTTACAATTTTTATTTTATTATGACAAGTTAATTCTTAAAAATGCATATGAACAACTAAAACGCCAACTGAATGTTATTCTTTAAAAAATTTCAGTAATTGTTCAAAAAAACATTTTCGTTTTGGCAAAGGTTGAAAATGAAGATCAGCGTAATATTATCGGAATTGATTATACCTGTAACCGCAACGGTGGAAGAGCATGTCAGATGTATTTGTATGAATATCCTGAAAAAAAATAGATCGAAATTTGTTTGAATTTTGAGCACTCGAGAAGCCTAGAAATAACTATGGACACTGGAATAAAACTCTAATAAAGTTTTATTTTAATGCGTGATGGTAATAGTTTAAATAACTAGATGGATTTCACAGGGTCTAACGACACTTACAGTGTACAGGGTGGGCAAATAAGCGAGGTAAGCGGCTGTATCTCAGAAACTAATGATCGTAGAGAGCTACGGTAAAAAATTTAATAGGTAAAGTGGGCAAGGGAAAATGCTGGAAATTATTTTCAAGTTTCCAAGATGGCCGCCAGTGGGCGTTTCCACCATCTTGAATTACATAAAGTTACGTTTCTCGCGATTTTCCCCAATGAATGTAACNCATGAAGATGGCAGCACTCGTAAATAAAAGCTAGTGAATTTCGTTGTTCATCTGTTGACAGTTACTCACCAAAGTTTCAGCCATTTTGGACGCGCAGTTGTTATGTAACAGTCGTTTGAGTGAGTTGATGCTAGTGTTTTTATGAAAATGGACAAAATCGAGTATCGAGCTGTCATTAAATATTTGTTTTTGAAAGGCAATACGCCTACTCAAATCAAAGACGAGTTGGATTCTATGTATGGGGACTCTGCACCATCATTTACCACAATGAAATTTTGAGCTTGGGAGACGATGAACGTTCGGGACGTCCAAAAACTGCAACTACCGACGAAAACATCGCCAAAGTTCACCAAATGGTGCTAGACGACCGCCGAATTGAAGTGAGAGAGATAGCAGAGGTTATGAACATGTCAAAAGAACGTGTTTGTCACATATTAAATCAACATTTAAACATGAGAAAGCTGTCCGCGCGTTGGATGCCGCGTTTGCTCACGTTAGACCAAAAACGTTTTCGAATGAACATTTCCAACGCTCTGTTGGCGCAGTTTAGGCGCAATAAATCCGAGTTTTGGCGCTGATTAATTACTGTAAATGAAACTTGGATACACCATTATACGCCCGAAACAAAAATACAGTCCAAACAGTGGACTGCAAAAGGGGAACCGGCTCCAAAAAAAGCAAAAACTGTTTTTTCGGCTGGGAAAGTGATGGCGACTGTTTTTTGGGATAGTCATGGAGTTATTTTAATCGATTATCTTCAAAAAGGAAAAACCATTACAGAAGCATACTACGCATCATTACTTGACAAGCTGAAGGCAGATCTTGCGGAAAAACGGCCACATTTGCAGAAAAAGAAAATCCTGTTTCACCAAGACAAAGCACCGTCTCACACCTCAGTGGTTGCTATGGCGAAAATCCACGATTTACGGTTTGAACTGCTTGACCATCCGCCTTACTCACCAGATCTAGCCACAAGCGACTTCTTTTTGTTTCCTCATCTAAAAATTGCGCTCGGAGGACAGAGATTTTCATCAAATGAAGAGGCAATCACCTTCATGAACAATTATTTTGCAGAGGAAAACGCCGAGTACTATTTGGACGGGTTACAGAGATGGGAGCATCGCTGGGAGAAGTGTGTATAGTTACAAGGAGCTATGTTGAAAAATAAAAAAAAAAATCTGAAAAAATGTCTTGTATCTTTGTTAGGTCGGAAACTTCTCAGACCACCCTCGTACCTATCTAACCCAAAAGATCACCTAGATAACTAAAAATAAAATGATGGATATACAGGGTGGTCCGAATTTTATGCAGGAAACTTCAAGGGCAGATAGATCTCTTTAAAATAATAGCTGTTTGCCTTATAAACATAGGTCTGGAACGGCCTCGTTTTAAAGATACAGGGTGTTGAAGTTATTAAAAAAAATTGATTTTTTGTTTATATTTCCGGAATCTATTAACCGATCTCGATAAAATTTAGTACAGATAATGTATGACAGTAGGACTTGCATTCCCTAAAATATTAGATCTAAAGGTTCAACCAGTGGTGTACAACTGGACAGGCTCACCCCTTTTTTATAAAAAAAAACCTACGCCACTGTCTTTTTTACAAATTATTGTAACGGATTTATAATCTAATGCACAAAATACGTAAAATAGGTAACTTGAATTTTTTTCCCAAATTTCACCGTTCTCAACTTATGCATACCAATACCCTTATTCATACCCTTGTGGCAGATACTTCTAACCATAATATTACAATAGTATTTATGTTTATGCTTAAAAGTAAGTGCAATTTGTAAGCACTTCAACAAAATTCTTTACACTCGTCGCTTTCATCTTTTTGGATTAAAAAACGTCTCGGCAACTCAGGATGAATAAATCGATTTGAAAAGTTCTACATGAAGATGGTAGAAATCCGTACCATTTACAACCTGTGCAAAATTTACTTCCGGAAGATGCAGAGAGACGCCTGAATTTTTGTCAGTGGTTGTTAAAGTCACAACATAATCCAGAATTCTTACTAAAAATACTTTGGATCGATGAAGCTACGTTCAATCCTCATGAAATTCGAACAAGATCTTTTCAAGACGAATTTTCTGTGAAAGTGTGGCTCGGAATAATTCGCAATAAAGTTTGTGGACCTTTCTTCTTGCTACCATCCAAATTCCCAATAATTTCTAAACTCTCTAGAAAACCATCTATTTGAATTATTACTTTCAAGCATAAACATAAATATTCTTGTAATATTATGGTTTGAAATGTCTGCCACAAGGGGACTGTATTGGTATGAATAACTTGAGAACGGCGAATCTTAGGGAAAAAATTCAAGTTACCTTTTTTACGTATTTAGTGCATTAGAATATAAATCCGTTACAATATGTTGTAAAAAATACAGTGGCGTAGGTTTTTTTTATAAAAAGGGGGCGACCCCTGTCCAGTTGTACACCACTGGTTGAACCTCTAGAGCTCGTATTTTAGGGAATGCAAGGCCTACTGTCATACATTATCTGTACCAAATTTTATTGAGATCGGTTAATAGATTCCGGAGATATAAACAAAAAATCAATTTTTTTTAACAACTGTAACACACTGTATCTTTAAAACGAGGCCGTTCTAGACCTATGTTTATAAAGCAAACACCTATTATTTTAAAGAGATCTGTCTGCCCTCGAAATTTCCTACATAAAATTCGGACCACCCTGTTTAAATAGGCACATCTGCTCAAAGAATTTTAGTTGTGCTGTCAGGCATCCCGTGATTTATTGACATGGCTTTTCTTACAATTTTCGTTAATTGAACGGTTATTACCCCTCTTTGCCATGCGATAGAGAATCCATGCGATAGAGAATGCGATAATGAAGGCGTCTCATAGTCTCCGCCCGTTTCGCCCTTCCACAAATAAGATCCACTTCTTATTTGAGGAAGGGCGAAATGGTAGGTGACAATTAGACGCCTTCACTATACCCATCCTTGTCTATCACATGGATTTCTATAGCTTACTTTATCGCTCTCACGTAACTTCAGATAGACCATCGGTACTTTCCTACCCGGTATATCATACATTTATAAATTTTTCAGCGGTAATGTTAAATTTAATAAGTGATGTTTTGTAACTTTATTCATTAATATATTTTTTGAGGGTATATCAATCTAAAAATTAATTTGTGCAATAATGTAAATACTTTAAAAATAATATAATAATGTGTAGTTTTTCTGTCGATCTACAAATATTTTTCGGCTTTCAGATAAATCTTATTGGCTTCATCGTTCTCAGGGTATTATACGCAGCCTGATATACCACGTCCATACTTTTACGTCAAAGTTTAGTTACATAGTAATATCCAGCAATAAAAAAATTATATCTGAGTTTGATTGAAAATCGATCGGTTGACATGTCAAGGAGGGGAATACAACTTAATTATTGTCTGAATCAGAATCTTCCTCTGCGGCTTATTTACTCAGAAACAAATGAAGTGGAGTCAATAATAGAATTATGAATAATTTGTTAAACTTTATGACAGCGCCAGTGAATCACCGGAACGTGAAGAAACACGGGAAATGCATTTTAATATTTAAAAACTTGTAAAGGTGTTATAATTACAATAGGAAAACCGATGATACCTAATCTTATAGTGTTCAAGATATAAGTTGAATATTACAAATGATTTTTGCAAATGGAAAGAGAAAATTTATTATAATTTGATGTTATTTTGTTCTTTTAGAACTTTGAATTTTGATCCATTACATTTAATACCACTTGCTTTCTTAGCCATGTTTAAATAAACTCAATTTTTTTGAAAATGGATAATTTTATCGAAACAAATGTAGAATACCTTTTTTAAAGAGAGATGACCAAAGTATTTAAAAACGCAGTTTTCAGCTTTATAAAATGACACCTGTCAAAATTTTGGCCCAACGGATGTGGTTGCAAGTCCGTTCCTGATTTCCCTGACAATGTAAAACATCTAATATAGTATGGTTTTATGGGCCTACATAAAATATTAAAATTTCATTAAATTATACAAGTCGGTTCAAAAGTTATAGCCAAAAAAGTAAATCGCTGGGTACCCCTTTGGGGCTCTGTATTTCCGTAAGGGGCACTTTAAAAATTTTTTTTCTTATGACAAACTAGGATTATTTTGATCTCCCCTATACACTCCTGTATGTTGTGAAATTGTGTTGCAGCGATATTTATTTTTGTAAATAGAAAGAGATGCAGGGAAAGAAGAAAATTATTTTTCTGAAAAACGCCGAGACAGATCGATTTTTGATTGAAAGAGGACATCTTTTCTCTTAAATCCTCCAAAAATCTTATTAGGGAAGGAGGGTTAAATGATACATCGTTGAATGGTATTCTAATTCTCTACCTAACCGTGTTTTATTTTTTGAATTTGACCTATTGGTTTCTGAGATACAGGTTGTTAATAAAAAGACCCACTTTTTACAATTTTATTTGCAATTTTTCCCCATCAGCTGCGTGTTCATCCGTTTTTAAAACTACTTTTTCTAATTTTGACATAAAGTAACATCTTTTCTTATCGAAACAAGTGTCAAAACGTTCTACTTTCTGTAACTAGTTACATAATGAAATTCATTACTGGTTACGAAAAGTTCCTTATGTCACTAATTGCAAAAAAGAATTAAACAAAATACAACAGAAAAATAATGAAGTAACTTTTATTTAAGTCAGTAATTTTATAAATAACATTTAATTAATTATTTATTAATTATTATTATTTAATTATAGAAATTCACAACGCAGTTGGTACAGTTAGTGAAACTAATTCCAGAAGAAATTTTATTTGTTGACCTTGCAGTAATATTCCTTGATATGTTGCGTATTGGTATTACTCGGTTCTCCACGAATATCACCGGAAATTGTTTTTTTATTTTCTATAGAATTTTCAACATATCCTTCTGCAACAGAATTTGACTTCCAGCCGAACTGTTGTTTTATTTTTAAAATATTGGGCCCAGAATCTGCACGTAAAGTGGCCGAAGATCTTCTGAAACAGTGCCCCGTGAATAATGCACAATTCGGCAAACCAATAATTATTTGAGCAGTCATCTTTGATATTAATTCCTACTGGTTGTACACCACATTTACCATTTCTATATCCAACAAAGAATCTATTGTGTTAAATATTTTCCGGGCGTAGGTTTCCATACTTCCTGATAATGTCAACGAAGTTTAGTCCTTCTATATCTCCCGGGGTAATTACAAATTCACGAATTACTCTAGTTTTTGTATTTGGAATATTTTGTTAGTTACCTTAGCCATTAAAAGACTATTGTCATCCGCCTCCGTCAAAAACTTCGCAATATTTACTTTTGAAAAGACGTTTAATTTCTTAGCATGGTATCCATCAGAATGCCTTTTCAAAAATGCTATGAAACTATTGTATGTTTTAATGTCTATACCTTTTTTTAGACAGCTCAGTTCTCAACATGGAGTACTGTGTCCATAGCCATAGCACACATTTAAATGGCAATAGTAATGATCAGCGTCACATAATAAATCAGCGTCTATTGAATATCAAGACAAATTACAAGAAAATTTAAACTGTAAGTGACCTACTAGATAATTGTTATTTAAATTATACTTGTAAATGTTCAAAATTAAAAAACTTGTATTCCCAGTTTTCGTCAAAATTAGAAAAAAATCTTGTATGTATAATACGTTATGAATCATGATGTTATGTAACTCGTGCGATATCGCACTCATTACATAAAATCATACTTTTCATAACTGATTACCTAAATAGCATAAATGTTTAACATATTTAGTCGCATTTTTATGGACTACAGCAAAAATTCGTCTTCCATTGTCAGCCCTTATGTCAGAGGGACATTTTCTTTTACTGTTCGTAATAAATTGAAATAATAAATAACACTATCGGAAGGGATATTGCGTGAATTATTATTTTATTGTTATAGTTTTTTCGATCTCAATTGAAGACCAAAGAGCTAGGCAGTATGTACCATATTTACTTAGCCATACCTACATACAGGTCTGGTCGAACTAAACGTGAGATTGAAGAATATTCGCGCTGGGAAACGGCGCACAAACACAGCTGCACTGGGCAACAGGCCATAAATTTTAGTTGTTGACACATTGCCTAGCTGTGCAGTGCAGCAATGCGGAGTAATACATTTTAATGAAATATTTGATAAGTCGTAACCAAAATTTACCATCAATTACCAAATAGATAATAGAAATTTTATATATATATATATTATTTACCTTTAGCAGAAAATTTCTTTAGGGATGCCTATGAAACTCATTAAATTTATTGCTAGGAGTTTTTATACATGTTCAACTGAGTGCGGAAAGACTATAGTGTGCTAATAGGTGTATGCTTAATTTGGTTTCTTCGTTTTCAGGTTTGAAATCAAAATTGAGGAAAGTATTCAGAACGTCTTCCGGACCAAGTCCACACGACACGCTGTCGAGCGCACGCCTAGTCACTCAGCTGACTTCGGCCGCCCTCTGCGCCAGCTCCCCCGTGCTTCCTTCCGGCCCCAACGTCCCCCCAGTAGTGAAGAGTCTGATCCGCCCTCTAACGGTCCCCCGCCTCCAGATCACGCTGGTCAACAACAACGCCGACTTCTCCAACAGCAACGTCGGCAACGGGGTGTCGAAGCCCGCCCCTGTCGCCGCGGAGAAGGTACCCGACGAGAAGGCGCCCACGGTCAAGCCGAGGACTAAGAAAAAAAAATAGCACGAGTGCCACCTCTGCAGATGGTAGAGTATTAAGACTAAGAGACTGTTGTTGAATGCTGAAGAATTGAGATTAGCGTTCTGCGTTATTTTGATGTTAAAATTCTTGAGAGTAATACTTTATTGTGAGGCCAGATGTTTAACACGGAATAAAAATATGTTTTTTACTGTTATCGCCTACAGTCTCAGCTGTCAGGCCGTTGCAATAAATAAAGTAAAACATTTTTTGAAGAGGACCGACGACATAATTAAGTTCGCACAACATTACTAAATTTTTTGAGGGGAAAATATGTTATTATAAGAAATATTTACATTTATCTGTCCAGAGGAATTGGAATTATATCATATAAAAAATATTTTTATCTTCAGAATAGTCAGAGTTGTCTAGTTATTTCAAATTTATTAAATCCTTTCATTAAACAAATATTTTTGCGTCTTATCCACTGCTAGTTAAAGAAGCCATATTTTTGGCTTTTTAAAGTGTGTATCAGGTTTTCTTTAGCAACTTTTATTTGATAACCTATACTCCGCGGTCGAAATTATAGAGAGTGACTCATCGCTAGCTTTTGGACTAGTAAGGGGGATGAAGCGTGGCGGGAACGAAAATCCATTGACGTATCTGAGTAAAAGGCAACAAGATATAGAAAATATTGAAAAAAGATAATAAAACATAACATCTAATATTTTTTTACGGTTTGCTATAACCGGTACTTTGATCCATTTTAATTATTACAGCATTTTAAAACGTCCCAGTTGTGTTTTTTAATTTATAAATTTATTATAGCCATGAAATTAGACCCCTCGTCTACGCTTATGCTATGACGTTCTCAGGACGGATAAATCAAGTCCGTTTACACCCACTAAAAAAGCATTTCCCTATTCCCTAACAAGTGCAAAAGACAGAGATAGAATATAGATCGACGTTCAGTGTAATTCAGTCTATAGATGATTATAGATTCTATCGATGTGCGTAGCGAGCGGCACAAAGATAAATAATATTGAACCGTATAAAAATCATTTTATATTTTATACGCATTATGGTAATAGTGTTTTTATATTATGTCTGAGTCACTCTCTATAATTTCGACCGCGGAGTATATATATAAAACAGACAGTGGCGGCTCGTCAGGCGACGCAAGTGACGCACCGCTTTACCTAAAATTTCCGGTTGGTTGTGCAATTTAAAACTATTTTTAATTTTATATAAATTTTATAATTTAGGTAGTAATTCTATATTGAAAATGTTTGTGTTTGTTTTATACGCAGAAATAAACAGAATAGTTGCGCGGTGAACGCCTTCTAAAAAACATTGCCTTCGTTGAGCCCGAACATGAACCACGTACCATACAAGGTATAGCATAAGCAAGTGACGCGGATTGAAATCAGTTTGTATTACGCTTCACTTCGTAGCGTTGTTTACGGCGGTTGTCATGGCAACGAGGCGGCCAACACGCGAGTAAACTACGGCGAAGGGGAACGAGTGACGCGGAAATTGAAGCATCATCATCATCGCCCATCGCCTGCCTATAAACAGTTTATACGATACGTCGCCCAGTGCACGATTATATCGGTTCTTTGTTTCCTGTATCCAGTATGTATTTTATTGGAAACGTCATTTTCCAGATGGAAAATTGAGGACAAAAAGGATTTCTTTCGATGTGGAAAAATGGGGGAGGTCAAAAGACAAAGTGTACGTTAGGAAGTATCTGTACCTATCATTGAGTCCATGAGCCGAACTAATATTTCTATTTTTTATCAAATCTAAATGAAAATCCTCGCGAACGTCAGTTTTTCGGTAATATTGCAAATGCAACTAAAAATTTCCAGATTCATTTAAAACTGTTCGACCTTGAAAATTTTTGCCTGCGGCGCTTTATTATTTTTTTCTTCTTAGTCAATGCTTCACCTATTCTAATGTCACAAGCCGCCACTAAATACAGAGATATTCTAAGAACATTATCAAGACGTCCATTGAATATTAGAATATTCAGTGGACATTGAATATCAGTTGGACATATGACATATTTGAAGCAAATCCTTTTTGCCCCATTGTACATTCCAAGGTTCATATATCGATTTTTTGGACTATTTAGGGACGTCGTAAGAATTTGTCTGACATATAGAAAATGTACGTGTAGTAGATGCCCCAAGATGGAGGTTTTTGATTATTTTACGTCGACCTACCTCAATCCGGGAAATTTGCCGAATGTAGAGATCTTTTGCGTTCCTAACATTGCTTAAACAAGAGACCAACGGCTTTACATACTTTCCGAGGCATAATATGTCTATACAAACCTCGCCTAAATTTGTATTGCTTCGGTGAATACAAAGACAAAGACATACAGGCCAGTAGAAGATGGACGAGTATCGCGAGCCTTCCCTGCTTCCGTCCAAGTAAAATACTAACCTGGATTAGGGTTGTTTAACTTTTCATGCCAATGGCGATAATGCTATGTCGCTAGGCCACATTCACCCCATTTTCGGGATATTATTATAATATATGAAATATATTATATATAATATATATATAATATATAAAAAGTATACGTAAGGATATGTATAAAATATAGGACTGACTACTGAAGATGTACCGCGAAATTTGAATTTAGATTTTATGCTTCGAGAGATAACAGCTCTCTTCTTTATAGGAGATTCTGAAACTGTAGATTAACTCTTCTGCTTGGTATTTATATTTCCCGTGTCTTTTTATTATGTGCGAGGGTCAGAAAGGAATAGAATATGGTCTGCATTAAAAATTTATTATTAATTTCTCGTTCTTCATTTCCTCGTGTAAGCAGGGAAGGAATTTGGTATAGATTCAATCAAAGTTAAGAAGATGATATGATTTTAAAACTATTAGCGTCACTGAATGTATTGTTAACATTTCATTTAGTCATTGTATTCATGAATTTATACATACGATTTCGACATCGAGAAGTCAAACAGACAACGACTGTTGTATAATATACTAGTATATTAATTTGCTACATTTAGTTTGAATCGTTCATACTGTAAAGCTGTCTAGTTTCCTTAGTTTTAAATCCATAGATATTGTAGACTCGCGCTAAAACCAGTATACGCTACGATTGGCCATTATTGGCAGTGCCATCTAATCTGCAGAGAAAGACACTATAAAATTGGTTAGCTACAGCATTCGAGTCCATGGTTGATAGTCATTGGCCTGTGTCGTCCTTGCTCTATGGTTCTTTTCTTGAGGTGTTGCAGATTATACCAATATTAGGTTTCCTTAAGGTGCAAACTGTTTTGTTCGGTAGATAGGTTGTTGCTAGATCCTGTCTTTTTCCTTGTCTTTCAGCATGCCTTAAAAATACATCTCATTTTCCATACAATAAAAAACCGTTTATGTTAATTAAAAACACCATATCCGTGTAATTAAATTTGAATGACAAAAGAATAAACAGATTTCCGTGGCAAAAAGCAATGTTTGTGATTCCCAGAAGAATTTTTTATAAAATTCCTCTTTCGATCAAATAACTAATAGTATATTTATAACACTCAAGAAAACTGAGCGATATTGTGTAGTTTTTAGATTGGTACAATGGTACAAATATGTTTCAAACATTTTGTGAACAAAGTTTTCTTTTATACAAGATGCTTCTCAACTGGAACCTTTGTTCAAACTCATTCTTTTTCAGTTTATCGCACTGTATAAAAGTGACTATGTCCGTTCTGGATAATTCCAATTCTATGTAAATATAAATAAATTATATAATTTACACCGAGTATTTCATTTTAGGGTCAAGTAAGTATTGTAGCTGAGCTGACATCATTAATTTATTAACTGAATTTCCGGTACTAAACACTAATTTATTAAGAGATTCGTGTTAAACATCTGGTGCATATAGTGGTTTTAAGGCTTTTACGGCCTGTGCTAATATTTATGGTACCATTGTTTTCCGGGTTGTTCCAGACTTACACTGCATTTTCTTAGCCCTGGCTAGCAATCCTTCACATACTCTTGTTGTTCTCGGGCTACACTCTGTGGGGGCGGATCCGCTATCACAATCATTAGACCCGCCCTGATGTTGAGTCTAAGGATAAGGAAGGGCAATGCAAGTCTGTAATTGGCGGTGACAATGCCACAGTATAACAACCTTAAGAGCCATGTTATTTTAAATATTTGGTGCATATACCTTTATCATATAATCGCTTAGAAATAAATTATTTTATTTATTCGTAATTATATATAATATCTTATGTGATACTAGCTACCCCATAGGAGTAACATTAACAATATAATAACATACATATGTTAATACGATTAAATTTATTGTATAGGACCGCGTATATATGAAAATGTTGTTTTTATTAATTGGGAAAAATATGCAAATTATCCAAAATGGTGCTAAAATATAGAATGAACATTATACTGGCTTACTATTTTCGGGTGGCCATATATTAAAAATTTATAAATCACATAAAATGTCATTAAATTTTTATATGTTGTCCAAGCGTTTTGTACAAAATAATTGAGAATTTCGAAAACATTAAAATAATTTAGTCGTAAAGATAGGTTGGTCCTTAAAGTGACTTCAATCGGAACATTTCTTTTTAGAAAGAAAACTAAAATATTGTGAATTTTTGTTAAATTTATTTAATGAGAATACTTTTTTCAAAAAAAATAAATATTATGATGTACATATGTACATTAGGTAATGTTTAAATAAAAAACATATCTAACTTCAAAAATAACTTTTCAAAAGTAATTTCGTTTCTTTATCTCTTATTTTGCCGTAATTATTCTTCATGAAATCACAATAGGAAAGATAGAAATGAAATAAAAATTCTAAGAGCCACATAACTAAATTAATTTTGTTTTCTATCTCCAATAATAACGAATTATTAATATTTTGTACAGAATCCTGACTATCCAATTTTATTGGCAATATTCAGAGATAGCAGAATGCGAGTAGTACCGTTAAAATAGTTAAAACTTGTTATTAAATTATAAAATATAAAAAAGAAGTTGGGGATAGTTAGTTTATACTTTTGTTAAAACTGAGTAATCCAATATTTCGAATATTGTATATAAAAATAGGAATACGTCTTTGTTAAATCTCTCACCTCACGAAATATATGTTTTCCTATAGATACTGTTATTTCTGAGTATTATAAAACCACAAGAATTGTTACTTATTCTTGTGATAAAACCATTTAGAAAAGACAAAAATTTATTCAAAATCGTTTTTAGCTATACCTAAACATATATAAACATAAATTTTAACTAGTACTATATACTAAATAAAAGCAGTTTTATATTTAAGAACATTTTTTAATGATCTATTAACTAATAAAATTTTGAATTACATCGTCAAAAATGAGAATAAATGTTTCTTCACTGACAGCATGGAAATGCATAGATTTTATACGGGAAAGGCAACATGAACAAACATTATTTCAATAAATTAACAAGTTATGCACCTTCAAATTTCCTTATTTAAAACGAGTCTACACGATTACCTGATCTTGCACATATTGTTGCATATCTCCGCTATGTATACATTTAATATTTACTTTATCTTCAAAGTTAACAATTTGTTAGTTGTTTTCGATATTTCATTCATAATATGTACTTATACGTTGTAATAAAATATCTCTAAGTATATGATGAAAATTACGCACAATATATTTTTTGCCACAAAGTTTTTTACGTATATTAATTATTTTATAAAGACATTGGTCTGTGCACATCATATCGAAAAGTTTTTCTTAACACACTTTTGTATCAACATTACGATGTTGTTTCGGTCGACTTCTTAAAGACTTTTATTAAAAGGACCAAAATTATTCTGTCAATATTTTATCTACGAGGTATATTTGAAAGATTGATAAAACATTTCGCAAATAATTAGACAACTTTTCATATCTCTATTAATGTAATATTAAAAAATTCTAGTTTTACACAATAAGTTGTATTTTTCGAGTTGTAATGTTTTTAATTTATTTTATATTTAAATAAAAGTTATGTAAGTACGTATTGTGTTTTATATCTAAAAACTTTTGACGTTCCTAACCTCTTATTCTTGTTCAGTATCAATGTAAATAAAATTAATTTGAGTCCTAAAGGTAAGATGTGCAGTGGCAAAGTAGTGCAGTGGAGAAACATAGCTTACCCACTGCCTACAACTCATCTTGTAAATGCGGTTTCTATTTCGTAAGTAAATTTATTATTTTCTCTGTAACTTTATTCTATAACTTTGGGAAAGAAACTGTGGGTTTCTGCTTTGCCTCGGCTATTTTTTGGGCTTCTCGAGCATCTTGATCTTTGGCTAATGTGCATCCTTGTTACTGATCGCAGTTAACTAGTTCTGGGTAACTTGGATGCCAGGTTGTTATCTAAGTACTCTTTGATCGCAAAAATTTTTTGCTATGTTTTGAATTGCAAAAATTTGTTAATTTGGAATAATTAATTATAGTATATAAGTTTATAATACTGAGTGTATGATACAATGAACATAAAAAAGGAGCCTACTAATCTGGCTAGAAATGTTGCCCTATTTCTTACGAGGACAATATCAGAGTGGACGTTCGATCACATGTCAGGGTGGCTCCACCAAGTCCAGCGGTGGTATTTGCATCGGCTGTTGGATTTTTTCTTGCAAGCTTTGACGTGGTGCCCCAGCGTCACAACTTTTCTGGGGATTTTGCTGGAAAATATAATAGTGGCGCGGTTTTCCAGCGGGTAGTCAATATTTTATCTAGACTCGATAGTCGTATAGCAGTCCTAAAGTTAATAATTTACGGATAGAAATACCACATAGTTATTTATTTACCGAGACCAAAAAGTTGCATTTTTATGGATGAACTTGCTTCTGATCTGGAACAAAGTGGTGAGGCCATAATTCTGCAGGATTTGGTCAAGACGTACATTAAATTTTCTCGTCGACTTTAATAAATGTTAAGATGATACGCATGTGTACGTACGTGTTTCTGTACAACATTTCGCTGGAAATGAATTCTTGAAACTGCATTTTATGGGGGAGTCGATGGGAAAATTATTAATTTTAAATAATCGTAAAAGTCATATAAAAACCAAGTTAATTTTTATATTACTGCCAAAATGGTATATAAAATACAATAACAGGTTTTCACGACATAACTAACTATAAACAAAAATTAATGATATCTTGAAACATCACAAAATAATAAAGCATAAACAGAATATGTATAGATCAAATTTAAAAATTAAGTATCTTTTATTTAAAGTAGATATACATTATTTTTACTTAATATAGCTATTTCTAAACTATATTACACTTCAGTAAACGTTAATAGATACAATTTTGTCAAAAATCATCCCCAAAGTTAAATATTAAACTACAACAGTTTATAAATTATGTCAATAAATGAAATATCACTTATAGTCCAGGGAACGAAGAGAAAAATATAGTAAAACCTACGAATACTTTCGGATAGATCCGATTTTTATGAATATTTGGAATTAATTTTATTTCACCCTGAGATGAAAAGTTATACATGCTTATTTTTAGGGAACGAAAAGCACTCCTTATGCTAAAAAACTGAATAAATATAAAAATAGGTGCTATATAGACTAAAATCATATCCTAATATATAGAATAAATATTGTTTTATATTGTGGGTTATAAATTATGTTATTTTCATAAAGTTTCAACCCTTAAAAATCACCTTTAATGATAAAAATATAAAATTAATAGTTTCTTTGACCTTAAAATATATTTATAGCTCATATATTATAGTTAGAAATTTTTTCAATAGTTTATGGTGTTACAAATAATTTATTACAATATTTCATCCTTTAAAAAACTAACCCTAATAATAAAATATTAAAAAAAAAATTGTTTTTAACAGTTTGAAATGATTTGATGGTACAAACAGGATAAATTAAATTCTTTTACCTGCTTATAATATAATTTATAATTTATCGTTTTAACCCTTATAAACCACCCCCAATGACGAAATATAATTTAAGCAACATTCATAATAATTATTTCTCAATATTTTTCTCTGGCAGAAAGTCATAATTATATATTATTTTATTATGTATACATTTATAAATGCTACAAAATTGTGGATAACCAAAACATTGATATGCTCCAAAAATTGAAGCGGTAAGGTGTCGTTGGTTTTTTAACGATAACTTCCATAGTTTTAAAGCTATTGTGTCGATCCAAAAACGATTTTACGGATAATTTCGACAGCTAAAGGTACTGTAAAATTGACTAGTTTTTAAAGAATTATTTTTGAGATTTTTGAGGTTAAAAGGTTTAAAAAACATGACCTTCGCCCTCAGCTGCATTCTTCTAGCAGCGACATCTGTGTTAATTTTTATCCTACACAAATAAAAAACCAAAATTTCTGTGAAAAAACATCTAAACTTTTGTACCCTTGAATATTTTTCGTATCTTTCTTATTTTTAGTTATTTTTGTTGGAATTAATTTTTTTTTCAATCAAAACGTAATATTTTAAAAAATATGTATTCTAAACCGCTTATATAATATACTGTCAACACATAAAAAATGTAAACTGTAGGACTTTAATTTTAAATCTCGTGAAAAATGTATAGGTTTTTGTACTGATTTTTTTCCGAATTAACAGTTTTATTTTGATCATAACTCTGTTGATTTTTATGCTGATGACTTAAAGTCAAATTTATTTTAAAAATTTTTTTAAGTACTTTAAAAAATGTTCTGTGCATTTTTCTTGAAAAATATATATTTTTTAGTTATTTGACGTTAAATGTTTTAGTTTCTGGCAGACATGAAATTATCTTCAACCAGCCGTATCTCAGCACCTACAGATATTAAAAGAAACTCGATCTTTTTCTTTTTCTATAAGCTTCATTTCCTTCATGATGTTTTTTTTTATATATAATATCTATTTTCCGAGTTATTCGAGAAAAACCGCTGAAAACGTATTTTTTTAATAAAAAATTTACATATTCAATCACCAATAACTCTGAATATATTGAAAAATGTTCATTAGATAATTTTTGCTTGAAATTGATTGCTTTGTTGATTCCTGGGGTTATTTTCATTTTATTTTTCACTCCCTAGAAGGGGTAGCTTCCACCCCTGGGCAAAAGTGCTCATCGGCACTATATAACTTTTGTTTCTTGAGCTATTTTCTACTTACAGTCCATGTTTCACGACAATCGATTCTATCCGAAAGAATTCGGAGGCGAAACCTTTGGTTCCCTGGACTATTATAAAATTAACAACTAAAAACTAGTGACTCAATTCAGTAGGATTATGTATAAGTTATTCTCAATAATCATCCATTGTCATTAGTAGGTCACACTGAACAGTCAAACAGTCCAATCATCTTAATACTAAATAATTTAATTGCCCTAGAGTTCATCCTCCCTAACAGACTTCTTATTTTTTCGTTTCCTTTTACTTTTTATGTTGGACAAGATCTCGTACGCCTGCTGGATCTCCATGAACCTCTCCTGGGCCGACCTTTGCTTGTCGGGATCCTTCACCTTGTCTGGATGGAACTCCCTGCTCAGACCCCTCCACTTGGCTGTTATTTCAGACTGACTGGCCGTGGGGCTCACGCCCAAGACCCTGTAAGCGTTTTGTTCTCCTTGCGGGTCGGATAAGTCAATTATCTGTTTCCATATCTCGTACCTAAAACAGAAGGTAGTGCTGTTTTATTTGTTTCTCGTTCGGAAACTATAACATTTTGGAACCGCTTTACCTAACAACTAAAAAATACAGGGTGTCTAATTTTTAATATGGCAGAATGAAACAGTTGACAGTGGATTTTATATTAACAACAAAAGCAATGAATAAGAATTCACAAGCTAGAATCTTTATGGTACAAGTATTTGACTTAACATTTCATGGGAATGTAACTTTATTGGAATTAGTTTTCATAATTATTTCACAAATAATTTTTACATCTTCTGAATGGTCTCTTTATTGATACTTTCAATGTTTTTATTTATTGCTAAGAAATATTTTTATGCAATTTTACTATATTTATTAAAAAAATGAATAGAGAAAAAGTAGAGACTATTCTGGCTTTTGGGAAAGCTCGGAAGAATTCGAAATTAGCAGCACGGCTTTGTAGAAACAAACGAATGAACAAAAAATGAATTGAAATTATCTTGTTTTTCACGACAATGCCGGTAAAATCTGTAACAGATTTGATCGAACTAACTAGTATTTTTCTCTGTACAGGCTGGTCCATTTTCAATGGGATTTCAGGGTATCTCAGAAACTACTAAAGGTATGATAAATCTGACACCACGTTCTCGAGCTCGATTTTCATGGCAAACTCGACTGTCAAATCAGAAATTTGCTATCTTCATTTGTTTTTGAGTTACAGGGCGTTTCTCATTATTGTGACACTTTTGAACATATCTGTATCTCAGCTGTTAAATAAGTTAGAGTTAAAGTGAAAACTGCTCAAGACTAATTATTTGGCGTAAAATTGAATGCCGATATTAGATTTTTAGTAGGTCTTAAGATTCCGGAGTTATGACCCACAGTTATAATTTTTTAAATGGAAATCGTAGCTGGTTATGACCTAAAAATATGGAGATTTTTTTTTGCTTTTCAGCAATATACTACATGCTATACGGGGTGTTTTATATATAAATTCGATCCTTTTTTACATTTTAATATGGCTGGCTATGAAAATACATACAAAACTATAATTCTTACTTTTACAAAACTCGTATCTGTTGTAAAAATATGACGTTTATTTAAAATATATATTACAGATAAGAAAAGACAGAGTTTTCAAATTTTTATTCCACTTCAACTGAAGTTACAATATTAAACGTAAATTAAACAATAGTAAGTACCTACATCAATAAAAACTTTCAAAAATGATAGCTAAATGTTCAAATTGCCGTCCTTCAACTGTCACACATTTCACGCATCTTCTGGCAACGCTTCGGGTAGCATTCATTAAATGTATAGGTATTTGAAATAGTATTAAAAGGAATTTTAAATATAATGTCTTTTAGAAAACCTCAAAGGAAAAAGTCCAACGGATTCAAATCAGGTAACCGAGCTGGCCATCTGATCTGTCCGTTTGTTCCTATCCACCTATCTCCTAAAATTTCGTTAGTACCTATTATATTATCACACGAGTATATGTTGTGCATTTAAAATAAATGTCATATTTTTACAACAGATATGACTTTTGTAAAAGTAAGAATTATAGTTTTAGCTGTATTTTCATAGCCGGTCATATTAAAAAGGAAAAAAAAATATAATTTATATATGAAACACCCCGTATCTCCCGTGTTTGTAAAAATAAGTGCAACATGTGATATATTGCTGAAAATCGGAAAAAAAATCTCTATTTTTTAGGCCATGGTCAGCTACGATTTCCATTTAAAAAAATATAACTTTGGGTCATAACTCCTAAATCTTAAGATCTACTAAAAATCTAATACCGGCATTCAATTCTACGCCAAAGAATTAGTCTTGAGCAGTTTTTACTTTAACTCTAACTTATTTAACAGCTGAGATACATACATGTTAAAAAGTGTCACAATAATGAGAAACGCCCTGTAACTCAGAAACAAATGAAGATAGCAAATTTCTGATTTGACAGTCGAGTTTGCCATGAAAATCGAGCTCGAAAACGTGGTGTCACATTTATCATATCTTTAGTAGTTTCTGAAATACCCTGAATTCCCATCGAAAATGGACCAGCCTGTACATAGGTATCATTCCATTGAAAAAAATATGTATATTGAAAAACTTCTTAAATTAAAATTGTTAAGAAAAATATTATCATATTATATGAAATTTGGGAAAGTAACGTCAGTCAATCCATCAAAACTGTCTCATATATCAATTTGCTTAAAATCATAGCGGGTATAAGATTTTAAGTAAAAAGAAAAAATCACTGCTGTAAAATTTGACAGCTCTCTTTGTATTTAAAAAACAAGTTATAATAATAATATAATAATAATCAATTTTATTTCATATATGCCAACACAGGATACGAACGTCAGATTTAAAAAAATGAAAGAAAAACTACAACAATAAAAAAACTTCAATAATACATAAATAAGGCCTTACATATGACTTATATCTAACGTATACATATAAAATAAACATAAAAATAAGATATAGAGACAATACGAATCATGTATATGTAGGTATCTAAGAATTCATTCACAGTGTAAAAGCTCCTTTCGTAAAGAAATTCTAAAAGTTCTTTTTTGAATTTAGAGACACTGGTTAGATTTCTTATTGTTAGAGGTAGTTTGTTATAAGCTGTACTACATATATAATACGCACTTAATAATTTTAATTTATCAGTGAAAATACTAGCTGCACATCTTGCATCGTGATTGTGAGTCGAGGTACGACAGGGAAATAAATTTGAATTTTTCCTAAATAAGGCTGCTTCATAAATAGGAACAGATGACACAGTTAGTATTTTATTCGCTTTGAATAATGGCTTGCATGATTCAAGCGGTTGATATGAAAAAATGAGTCGTAATATTCTTTTTTGTAATATAAAGACTATGTGTATCTCCTTCGACTGACCCCAATACAAGATTAAGTATTTTATATGCGAGTATACCAATGCATAGTAAACATTTAGTAGATACTTCTTGTCAACAACAGACTTAAGGTTTCTGGTAACATAATACGAAGAATTTAGTTTTCCTACAACATTCATAATGTGTTTAGACCAGAACAAGTCCTTGTCTATATGCAGTCCCAGAAATTTTGCACTAGTAACATTGTCTATTATTTCATTATTTATTGATAGTGTGAAGTTTGTCAAGGACAAGAACTCCCTACGAAATATAACATAACTTTGCTTACGTTAATAATAAGTTTATTCGATGCTCACCAAGCGTAAAAATGTGAGAGAACTATATTCACGCACTGCTCCAGCAAACTAACAGATTCGGCTTTAACACAGGTAAACGTATGTGACTGTCTAAGTTTAGAAGTTGTTCCTTTAGGATATTATTGAATAAAACATCGTGATATTTAACAAAGGCCTAAAGATTTCTAAATAAAAACATGGAACGTCGAAAATCTTTAATAATTTTAATAACACAGGCCCACGAACAGAAATCAAAACTCCTTTTTCCCAGTGGGTAACCTTGATGTTTTTGGGGTCGCTGATCACGATCCCGGTGTCCATATGACCCCATCGCGTCTAGATCAAGGTCAAATGAAGGTCAAACACATTAACTCGAGCGATACAATTTTTTTGATCCCGGATTCTGAAAGAGCGGAAAATTTTACGTCCGAATACTCTTCGACCTTTTGGCCTGAAGGTCATTTGGGGGTCATCTAGAGGTCAAATTCTTCTTTTGATCTCTCGGCTGATATCTTAGGAATGGGTCTTGAAATAGTTTACATTTATGTTTTTGGGGTCGCTGTTCACGATCACATATCACGTCTAAATCAAGGTCAAATGAAGGTCAAACACATTAACTCGAATTATACAATTTTTTTATCCGAATTCTGAAAGAGCGGAATTTGACGTCCGAATACGATTCGACCTGTTGGTCGAACCGACCTCTGAAGGTCATTTGCAGGTCATCTGTAGTTTGAATCATCGTTTTTGGTATCCCGAATGATATCTCGTCTGGGAAGCAAGATATCGGATTAATGACCTCTACAAAAGTTGTGGGAAATCTCGGGGACCATCAACTGGTTACCTTGGATCTTACTTTGAGAGTCTACTTCAGGGTCAAATGAAGGTCACACACCGCAATTCAAGGCCCATAATTTTTCAGAATACCTAAAAAGCATCACTTATACGCGTTTGAACCCCGAAACTAAGCTTCTGTAGAAGATTGATTTAAAAACGTTTCTTACCCTTGTACAGTGTACACCATAACTCCAGAACCATATAACCCATGAACCAAATAAACCTAAAATCTCATAACCCTAAAACTCAATAAGCAAGTGAATACGTTTTGAAATCTAGAAACAGAAGATATTTCAGCCAGACACGCTTCTTAACACAATTAATTAATAAAACAATTACGAAATTCTATAATCTCAAAATCCCACAACCTTCAAGGCTAATGACAAGTGAACTCACGATACGATATTCAAGCATCCCAAAAAGGATAAAAATTTTCCTCTCTTTCAGCATCCGGGGTCAAAAGAATTGTATCATTCATTTAACGTGTTTGACCTTGATCTAGACGTGATGTGATCGTGATCACCGACCCCCAAAAACATAAAAGTAGTCTGGGAAAAAGGGCTTTTCGATTTCTGTTTGTGGGCCTGTGTAATTCTTCTTCTTCTTGTGGAACATCCTTAGTTTAGCTAACATGACCTAAAATGTAAGGCCAGAAAATATCGTAAAATTTTCTTTATGATTTTAAAACGATTTTAATTAAAATCTTTATGTTTGGTCTTTTAATGTAGATATAAAAAGTAATATATAGCGTATTATTTTTAATCACAGCATAAAATTGTTAATTTTATGCTTACTTTACCTTTGTAGATATAAAATTGATTTTATTATATTTTTTCCGCCCATGAACTATTAATATTTCCTACGAATTTTGAGTAAAACAAATAAGTCATTAGACTAAATGTATAGAAAAAAATATAATAAATACATACAAAAATAAGAAATTAAATGTTTTCGAATGCCAAATATTAATTGCTCAATA